TCCCGGCCCGCTGCTACACTGCCACACGCTCCGAGTGCCGGCGGGTTCGCCGTTTTGTGCCTGGCACGGAGCTGGCTGGGGAAAGTGTGGACGTGACCACCCTCCAGCGCTCAGGCTCCTTCCCAGTGAACACACAGCGCTTCGCTCGGCCTGACGGCACCTGCACCCTGTGCCACAGCGCCCAGCGTCCGGGCACCCTCTGGCTCCTACCCCTAGCGTTCACTGACTGGCGCGCCCAGAGCTCCAGCTGCCAACACCAGGTGATCAAGACCAATGCCATGTCCACAGAGGCCGTGGCCAGGGAAGTGGCCAAGAGCATCACCAACAACTGGACGGTGGGGCTGGACGTGCTGATCCCCAAGATATACAGCAAAGTGAAGGTGTCAGTGGCTGGCTCGCATTCCAAGGCGGCCAACTTCGCAGCAGATAAGTCACATCAGGACCAGTACAGCTTCAGCAGGGACTTGGTGGAGTGTCACTTCTACAGGTGAGCGGCCTGGCACAGGAGGTGGGAGGGGCTGGAGAAATGTGTGGGAAGGGGTAACACCAGGTGATGTGGAATGGCATGATAGGGTCCCCAGACCCTGCTTCCACCAGGAGAAACAGAAATCCTGGTCCCCACACATCAGGTGCTACAGTGCCCTGCGGCCTGCTGCCATTCACGAGGGCTGGAATCTGGAAGTGACAGCGCCAGGAAGAGAGCAAGACTGTGCCAAGAGCCTGGCATGGTGCAATGGAGGTCTAGCGAGCACTTAATCCCTCCTCTTCCCTGGCACTGTCATCCTTCCATGGGGTTCCTCCTCCAAGGTGGGCAGGCAGGAGACCTGAGTGAGCCCTCACCCTCTGCTGTGTGACCTTGAGCATCTCACTCCTCTCTCTGGGCCTCACTCATCCATTCAGCACATACTCACATGTGTTTTGGGTCAGGTGCTTAGCTAGGAATTAGGACTGCAGTGGAGAGTCGCTGCCGTCACTATCCCAGCCCTCGGAGCTTCTTGGAGAAGTGCAGCGTCTCCACGGACTGCCCCAAATCACCTACGCTAATTTCTCAGCCTGGGAAGCCATGAATCTTCCAGTGAAGCAGGGTGCCTCCTGCCTGCATCGCCAAGCACTGTCAGGAGCCAAGGCATAAGCAGGGCACCATCCACTGGGACAGACACATGAAGGCCACATGACCAGCTCCAAAGCAAGGTGGATACCAACAGCACAGTATCCTTGTTTGCTTGTTTACCTTTTATTCTGGTACAAAACACGTGCTGTTTCAAGTTTTTTTTACATGTACAATTCCGTACATTAATTACGTTCATCATGCTATACATCTCTAGCTGTTTCCAAATTTTTCCATCACCCTTAACAGAAACTCAGAGCCTCCTAAACAATGATTTCTCTTTGCCCCTCCCCTGAAGCCCCTGGTAATGTCTCATCTACTTTCTGTCTTAATACATTTGCCCTTTCTAGATATTTCATATAAGTGCGATCATACAATATTTGTCCTTTTGTGACTGATTTGTTTCAGTCAGCATAGTGTTTTCAAGATTCATCCATGTTGTGGCATGCGTGTATCA